TGATGGATAATTCCATATTCCGAACATATTTATGCAAACGGAGATTCATATTCTCCACCTCTATCTCTTCTAATCATTTTGATCTTTTTATTTAATTGATTTTCTACCTCATTCTTGTATTGCTTAAATGCTTCAATTGTTTCATCCTTACTATTAAGCAAATAAACATAACAATATCTAGTGCAATCGTCAATAAAAGTAATAAAATACTTTTTCCCACCTCGAGATGGTGTCGACTTCATATCGCAAATGTCAGTATGAATTAAGTCTAAAGGATTTGAATTCCTTTCAACAGACTTATAAGGATGTTTTACAAACTTAGATTCAACACATATTTGACATTTCGATTTATTATACTCGAATTTAGGCAATACTTCTAAATTAATTAACTTCCGCAAGATTTTATAATTGACATGTCCTAAACGAATATGCCATAAATCATTTGACTCCAATAAATAAGAAGAAGCTGAAATTTTATTCATACTGTCAACAACCATTACATTGAGTTTGAAAAGGCCCTCCGTGAGGTAGCCTTTTCCAACATACATTTCGTTCTTGCTTACAACAACTTATCAGAAACAAATACACATTTGAATCCATTGTTTACAAGTAAAGAAGTAGAAACTAAAGTCTTCCTAATAGTAGGAACATGAAGAACGTTGTTGAGAGTTAACACCTTGCCGGAAGTCATCTTCAGGAATATCTTCCCATAACCTTCAATCTTGGCTGTTGCATTATTTCCTATGGAAATTTCTTCTTCGGGACCAGCAGTAGAGTAAGTCGCAAATGCTTCTTTGACAGCACAAACATATCGAGTGGCTCCAGAGTCAATCCACCACTCCTTCGGATTTCCAACTAGGTTGCATTCCGAAAGCATTGCGCAAAGATCATCAATGTCATTATTCTTCTCCACTATGTTGGCTTGTCCCTTCTTATTATCCTTTTTCGGGAGACGACAATCAGGGCTTTTGTTACCGACTTTTCCACAATTGTAGCAGCTGCCCTTAAATTTCCTTTTGTTCTGCTCCTTAGTTTGTCCAGAAGACCTCTTCCTCTTCTTACTTTTTGGAGCAGTCTCTTCAACGATATTAGCTCCCATGATCGTTGAATTTCCACGAGACTTCTTCTCGGCTGTTTTGTTGTCTTCCTCGATCTTTAGACGTATCACAAGATCTTCCAACTTCATTTCTTTGCGTTTGTGCTTCAGATAGTTCTTGAAATGTCTCCACGAAGGAGGCAATTTTTCAATTATAGCAGCTATTTGAAATGCTTCATTCACGACCACACCTTCAGCAATAAGGTCGTGAAAAATAAGTTGAAGCTCCTGAACTTGGGTTCCCACAGTTTTGCTGTCTATCATTTTATAGCCTAGAAACTTGGCAACCACAAACTTCTTCAAGCATGCATCTTCTGTCTTGTACTTCTTCTCAAGTGCGTCCCATAATTCTTTCGAAGTATTCATTGCACTGTACACATTGTACAAGTCATCCTCTAAAGCACTTAAGATATAGCCTTTGCAAAGAAAATCTGCCTGCTTCCACGCCTCAACAACCATGAACTTTTCATTGTCCGGCATGTCCGCAGCAGGCACTTGAAGTTGGTTCCAGAAAATTTTCCCGGTTTCTCAGCCGGAGGAACAGCAGTGCGGCTTGACGAGGCTATCGTCGTTGCACCAACAGTCGCAGAAGGATTTCCGTTTCCATTTGCTATTTCTTACTGTCAACAATAGAAGAGATCAATTAATGGCAAAACCAGAACAGTAAATAATACTGTAATCAATAAACAGTACGTAATAAAAACAACTGAAGTTTTTATATACTGTTTTACAGAAAAACGATGAAGTTTTTATGTTCTTCAAATCGTTTTCTGAATTTCAATACTCTGATGAAGTTTTTATATCTTCAAATCAGAATAGTAAAATTCAGACAGAATACAGAATATAATAAATATAATTTCCTTAAGATTGCTATATATCTGTATTGCTGTAAATAAATTAAATAATAATCTTTCTGAAAACAGAAACAGAAAGTTAGTAGAATTTAAATTCCGAAAACAGTAAACTTCTTCAAAATGAATGCTGAAAATGGTATAGGAACAAATCGACCCCACTGAATACACAGTGTGTCCTTAAGGAAATTATTCCCCTCAAGTACCCGAGGTTCTGGAATATATCCTCCCAGGATAGAACGATTTAACTCACCGGAGTGTTGGTACCAAGAACGCCGATGAACAGCGAACCACTCGAAGGCTGCAAAACACACTGGAATTTTTGTGCAGAAGAAGAAGAAGATTATCAGAGAATTTCGTAAGTAAATATTCTGGGATTTGAAGGAATATTTATAGCCAATTTGGTACTGTTTCTGAAAAGGTTTGCAACCTTTCAGAACAGCCATGGCTGTTGAAACAGGTGTGACACTGTTTCAGAACAGCCATGGTTGTTGGAAATTTTGCGGGAAGTTTAAAACGGATTTAAAATAATCCGGGAAAGAAAAACGGGCCGTACCGGACCGGATCGCGGGTCATGGGTTATTCCGGATTGAATTTCTTTAATTAATTTAATTAATTAATTAAATATTTGAAAAGAATTTTGTCCAAAAAGATTAATCAATCAATCGATCTTTGACAAATCCAAATCCAAATCCAAAGCCGAAGCCGAGCGACGACGATGGCACGAGGCTTGCCTTCTTCTTAGCTCTTTAAGAGCTAAAAGATGAGCTTCTCTTTATATACACAAAGATTTTCTTTCCTTCTACCAATGAGGGACAAAGTGCATTAGTGAACTCATTCAAAATTTCACTTCCCTCCATTTCTTTTTTCCACCATTTTCCATTCACACTTCTTTTGTTATTAAACAACAAAATCCAACACAAGTGACATGTTCTGGCCAATCAAATGCGGCCTTGTCACTCTTCAATATGATTGATCGGAAAGAGTTTGTTCTTATCATAACACTTTCCTCCCACAACTATAAATAGGGGTCTTCATAACTCAGAAAAGACACCAGAAGTTACAACAAGAAGATACCAGGGAGCTCGTGGATCAAATGCCACAATTCTCTGCAAACTGCAAGTGTTCAAGCATTCAAGCACTTCAACACAAATTTCAAGTATTCAGGATAAAAAACGAAGTCAAATTAAATACAAGGCGTTCAAGATCAAGGCTACTTGTTCGTGATACAATTCGTGGCAACAATCAAAGTATTCGTGACGGATAACTCAAATTCCAATTCAAGATCAAGCTCAAAGGCCCTTTAATTTATGTTGGAAAAGTAGAATCAGAGGAATCATAGAGATTGTAACACTCACATTATTTGAAATCAAATATCACGATTGTTGCAATATTTTCGGTCTTGATTTTATTTTCTTGACGCAAATTTATTTTTTACACCACATATTTTAAAAGTATTCTTTTCTTTATTAAAGTTTGTGCCAAGTCAAACTAAGACAAGCTTTTTGGAACTATGGGTGTTTAACGGGTGGGCCGGGCTGGGCCGGGCCTCTATTTTTTGGATCCGTACTGGTTACGGTCCGGGCCGGTTCCGGGTTGGTTCTTAACGGGTTTAACGGGTTTGGGTTCATCCGGGTAAAAATTGAACCGTAAGGGTTACGGGTTGAGGGGGCCGAGCCGGGCCGGGTTTAGTGTATTTTTAATTTTTTTTTTGGAATTTTTTATAAATATTGTAAGTTATATTAATACAAAGTACTAACATAAAGAATACAAGGAAGATGAGAAAAAATTGCACTTATTGCAATTTGCAAGTGCTACTTTTATTTCATAATTCAAACTTACAAATTGAAAGGTTTACATTTGAACAACAAGTAAATTCACCAAGGGTTTTAAATATATACCTCTAAAATGCAATATTTCACCTATATACATAGTGTAATTTTCGACGAACCACCCTGAGGACTATATAGCTTCGCCCATGCCCTTGTTTACATAGTTGACTGATCATATAATTGAATTGACAATATGAACAGATAAACAAAACACATAATACAAATAGGTAAAAAAAATACCTTGGAAATCAACCAGGCTTTTTCCATGCGTTCAACAAAGTTAGATGAACTATCAACTGCTGATGCTCTTACCACAAAAATTCTGGGTATTTGCTTTAATCTAGGGTTTCCAGGGAAAATCAATTGTAATCCTCTTGGTGTTGCAAATCGATTAATAACATTTGATTTTGCAGTAATTATGGATCTACAAGAACATGTACAAGTACTACTACTTGCCATTTTTTCCCTTCTTTTTTTCCTGTTCAATTTCTTGCCCACAGAATTCGAAAATTAAAAAAAAAAAAAGTAGCCGTTTAAACCAGGCCGGTTAACCCGGTTACAGTTACTGTTCACTCTTCCGGGTTCAACCGGGCCGGTTACCCGTTTCAAAGAACTAAACCGGACCAACCCCCTACCCAGCCCAGCCCAGCCCAGCCCCCTCTTACCGGTCCGGGCCGATCCGGAACCGGGTCAACTCGGCCCGTTTAACATCCTTATTTGGAACGGATGGAGTATCAAATAAACACAATTTCGGAGAAAAAAATCATCTTGTTTTCGAAATTTGTGAGTGAGTAAAAACAAGTACTAATTATTTCATCCGACATATTCATATGTAACTTCAAGGTTCAAATATTTAAGTACAATATTTGTGAATACTCATAATCGAAGTAGTATATGCAAATAATGAATTTCACAAGCCTTTAGTAGACATTCGGGGAAAAAAATGGGTGGAAGTTGAAAATAATAACATTTGGTTCAAACAAGATTTCTTCATCCATAACTAGACGTATTGGGGAGCTTTTTTTTAAAAATAAATCTTATATCAAGCAAATTAATCAGAGTTCGAAAGCAATTAATTAATATCCCAATACCAATAAGTAATGAAAAAAAAAAAGAACTTTAGGACATAGGGAGTCACCATCAGGAGAATGTGGTTGAAAAGAGAAGGTACCCACCCCATCAACATCATTGATAACCACACAAGGACTAAATAATTATGAGACCTATGAAAAGCTGCTAGAAAATAGGGGCATAATTCCCCCATATACGGGCTGACCCGGCCTAAAACCCGAACTCCGTATACACTGTGCTTGCACGACCATTTTAGAAGTCTCTCCGGTCTTAGCTAAAAGTGCACGTTTCTGTCTTTTGAGACTCTAGCCACATTGGATCCTTCAACCCAAGAACGTTTTCAGCTAAATTTCTTAGCTCTTTTTGCTTCCCTCCCGAGGTATCCTCCCAATTTACATTTCTGTGTACTTGTTCAGTTCAAGAATTTGTGTTTGTGTTCTTGAATTCGAGGTCAATGCCTCTTTCTTTTAGTATACAAGTGGACTGTTTATTCAATTTAAGTTTAAGGTTGCTGAATTGGGTGTTTAAATTAGGAAAAAAGAAGTAGATTGTTTCTCATACTAACTGTGTGTTTCTGAACTGAATAATGTACCATATTTGTTTCTTAAAGCCACATTGAGCTAAAAAGCTTGAACTTTCTGTTTAAGTTCTTGTAGTTATTTTACATCAAGGTTTACTTTCTAATGAGTTTATTGCTAGTGTAGAGCTGCCCTTTTTAGTGTTAGCTAACACAACAACTTTTTGTTCATGTTTTACAGGATAATAGAGGCAGTTAGGTCTTTAATCCCATTTGGGTTGATTGCCATTTTGATGCCTAGTAATATTGCAGTTCTGGATTAATTAGTGGATCTTATTATTAATTGTAGTCAGTTGCCTGCAACCTCATTAATGTTCAAATGGCTGATGATTTTGGGAAGCAACCAAGGCACCGTAATCTAACCCCGTTGAGGATGGTGAGGGGTATTTTCTGTCTAATTGTGTTAGTACTCTCTGCATTTATACTGTTAGTGTTCTTTGGCTTTTGGCCTGCTATTGTCATGCGAACTATCAGTGTCCATTATAGCAGAGTGGGAATATCCTTTGTTTTCGGATGTTGGTTAGCTTTGTGGCCCTTTTGGTTTGAAAAAATTAACAAAACCAAGGTGGTGATCTCTGGAGATTCTGTTCCATCAGCGAAGCGAGTCTTGGTTATTGCAAACCATCGAACTGAGGTTGATTGGATGTACTTGTGGGATCTTGCTTTGCGCAAGGGACGTGTGGGTTCGCTAAGGTATATACTTAAGAGCAGTTTGATGAGATTGCCAGTGTTTGGATGGGTTTTTCATGTCATGGAGTTCATACCTGTTGAGAGGAAATGGGATGCTGATGCATTGAAGCTGCGCCAGATGCTCGGGACCTATCAAGATCCTCAAGATCCACTGTGGCTTGTTGTTTTCCCAGAAGGCACTGATTTCACGTATGTTTTTACTTTCGAATTCTATGTATATGTATGTGAGATTGTGTGTCCTTGTGGCATGATAATTAGTGATTTCCTCTTTAGTACCAGAATCAATTAATTGAATTAGTGGCTTCATTGCTTTAATACAGAGAACAGAAGTGCATCCGTAGTCAAAAATATGCTTCTGAAAACGGATTGCCAATTCTGAAGAACGTACTTCTTCCAAAGACAAAAGGTTTTTGTGCTTGTTTGGAGGAACTGAGAGGTTCCCTGGATGCAGGTAGCACTTCTTTTACCTTCTTCCTTGTGTAATTATTTGGACGATGTTAATAATTAGTGTTCCTATTTTTGACCTTCCATAATGTAGGAATAATATTTCTGATGCTAAATTGGATCACTTTAGTGGCCTAAGTTCTCTTTTTTTGATGAAGAGTGGCCTAAGTTCTCTATTTACTCTGAGTATTCCATATCTTCAAGATCCAATATCGTTCCTCCATGTTCTCACCCAGATGATGCAACTTGCAAGTATTTGCTATTACTTCCTCATTTGTTTTGCCTAAACAATGAGGGGCATTTAGTGGATTCATTTAGATGGAGTCTGCTTGTGAACTAAATTTGATGGCAGTACAGTAATCATTTGTCTTCAGATATGGCTGTGTTTTGTTGTTTGGTTATCAGTAGTATTATGAGGAGGAAAAGGAAAAAAAGAAAGGGGGGGGGGGGGGGT